GTTTTTATGTCAGCTATATCCCATATAGTGGTCCAATAACGGCGATTCCGACAAATGAGCAACTTCGTGAGGAGAAAGGGACTTCCAGATCGATATCTCAAAAACTGAGGTCTGAAGTCTTTATATACGCTAACAAGGTATATAAAGACTTCCTCCTTCTGGCTGTTTCAAACTTCTTGGCAAACTTAATATACCCTGTTCAGGGTATGCTAAGAAAAACTGATTTTGTAAAAGCAAATAAATAGTATATTATTGTATATTAAAAGAATGTCGAAAATTGCTAGAAAATTGCAGAAAAGACAAGCAGTAACGGCTTTGCTGCTAGCCAATGTCTGAAGGTGACAAAATTAATGCAATATAAATAGGTAAATAGTTACGTGTGTATATATGTAATTTGTTTTCTTTAATTTTCCACAGAAAATAGTTCATTAACTCTTGCCACATGCAGTTGTAGGAAACGGGGTAATTTATGCCAACACAAATAACGGCTAAATTGTATATATAAATGTATGTTAAAGAATAAATTCAAATAATTGCTAAATTTCGCAACTGAAGCTTGTTAGTATTTGCAGTGACAAAGGATCGTTTTACAATTTTGTCATGTGCCTCGAGTACATGGCAAACATACATGCCGACATATTCACATATATATACGTACATTTTTTTGGTAGTTATATCTTTGCCAGCGCACGGTATTCTCATAAGAATAATCATGCTTCAAAATGCTAGCAACTTTGCTAAATCTTCATGCGTATGTGTGTGTATATGCAAGTCCTTTTGTCAACAATTGCGAAACTGTACGCGCATTCAACGCAACACGGCTTAAAACTTCTGCGCAGACGCAACAGCTCACTTGGAGAATACGCTGTGCCTCCTTTTTGCCTTTCATTTCACAACTTTCAGAGCAATGTACCCTGTACCTTTGTGCTATTTACACGCTCTGAGTGGCTGTAAAGAAACATTTTATTTCCTGTGCTCTTGCTTCTTGTCCTGCGCACTTATTTGTTCGCCTAGCGTTTTTTGTTCAATTTCTTGCGCATATACACATATACTCATTAATGATTGTAAATGCAGCCTTACATTCGCTGCCATACCCAAAGCAAATAAGGTTATCCTTTTGAAATTTCATTTCGTTTTCTTTATTACTTCTCGGAAAGGCATACCCATAGTCAAATAACATCCAACAGCAGTGTGTACAACAAAATAGAAATCCTTAACAGCGGTAGGATGTCTAGCGCTTAAGTATGTACTCAGTAGCAAATGAGCGCTGTTGGAGATTTAGACTCTGCTGTGCGCTCTTTGATGTTTTATAACGGCGTTGCTGCTTTTCAGGTAGTTTTCCTAGCCTGTTTTCCAATAATTTCAACTGGTATGAGATTTTGGTGGTATTTTCTAGAATTTTTTAATGTGCTGTTTGCTGCGGTTAAATCATGAACGAAGCTCCAATTAAAAAAATATAGTTTTTTAATAGAAAGATACTCATTTTTTTGGTTTCTTTAGACACATTTTGCGCCTATTGAAATGGCTGCATATTCCAGATATTGCGAAATAGCTAAAAATAATATTGAGTCAATAAAGAAAGACAACTGAAAAAATCCTTATAAATGTAAATTGAGAATTTGCTAATTATTCCAAATGTTTTTGGTATTGCTAAATATCGTAACACAAAAACATCAACAACTTTCCAACTGAACTAATATTTTTCCTATTGGCATGCTCATACAGGTTTACCTAGGTACATATGTAGTTGCAATTCCTTAACAGGCAGCTGCAAAAGTCTCTTTCTTTTCTTGTAAGTCAACAATAACAACAACAACAGAAACAGCGCCTACCCTTCTTTCATACACCGGCGTCGGCATTTTTCTCCACTCAACACATAATAATCGAGTGGCAATAGTTAAGCCCAACTGACGACTCCTGCCCTCATACAAACGCCACACACACATGCGCACACTATTAAATCAAGCACTGAAGCACAGGGCGGCGGCGCTTTAGCTGTTTTACGCACACTTTGACGCCAGCGACGACGACGTTCACGTTGACGAGGACCAGGACAAGAAAACGGGTGTGACAACGTGATCCTGGCAGTGTATGCATTTCAGTGGTGTTCCCAGCCAGGACCTCAGCAGCGCAAAAACTTCCATGCTGCTGATGACGCAAGGGTACCGATATCTGGCTACAGTTTACCTTGATTGTAGGCCGTTGCTTATGCAGCAACATATGCGTCTTCGAGTCGATCAGCGTCTGCAGCTCGCATCTGTCGTTTTTTTTTTGGCTCTTTGCATTGCATTTCGCTTAACAGAGTGCATCAGACGTTGTTGCAGCAGCGTCTTTTGTTGGTAGTCGTTTTTCATGAAGGTAGCAACAACAGAAAATACAGTCTCGAATCGCTTGTTATTGTTTACGTTTGTATTTTGTTTATATCCGATATTTCGTGGCAATGATCGCAGAGCAAAACAGCAGATGTTAAACATTTTGCTGCAATCGAACTTGCACTCGCATTTTCTTTCAGCAAACCAAGTTGCATATATGTATGCACGCGTCTATGTCAACCAGTCAACACAATATTACCACCTGCCATGCACGAAGTACATAAACATACACATATATCTAAGTATACATTCATAGTCGAGCAATATATAGCAAGTGTCATGCACATATCATATATATTATATATTCTTATGCGACTTTAACTTATCAGCACACACTTAACAGCAGAATATGTCTATATTTCTTAGGTAACACATACACTTTGTTTTGATAGTTTTCCAACTTTTTGGACATTTGCCATTTTCCGTATTTTTCATATTGTTATTATTATTTTTGTGATAGCAATCAGAAGCAATTAACCTACATAATAATATGTGACAAAGATTTGTCAGTATAGAAACCCAAAGTAAATGCAGCAAAAGTTGTATTATATATGTATAATCGGATATTTTTAGTGTCGTATCTGTGCGTAAGAGAGAACAAAGCCTTTCTTTAATAATTTTTTTTTTGTTATAATAAATTATATATACAATATATACATACATAAAATTAATACTTTTGAATATATTTTCAAACTTATTCATATAGTTAGTATAGAACATATAAAACTGATCAGCGAGACGATCTGAGTCGATTTGAGCATGTCCACCTGTGTGTCTATATACGCGAATTAGTACCTTAGTTTTTGAGATATCGATCTGAAATTTTGTACGAGTGCTTTCGTTTCGAAGAAGCTGCACATAAGTCGGAACAGCCGATATTGGAACGCCAGAGCATATAGCTGTCATACAAACTGATCGATCGAAATCCAGTTCTTGTATGTAAAGCATTTTTTTTAAGAGATACCTTCACGAAATTCGACATAGATTATTGTTAAAAAATTATTTTAAAAAAAAACTTATGACAGAATTATATAATCTTTTTTAATTTAAATTTTATACACACGCACACACACACACGCGCTTGTTGTTGATAAGGCGCAGCATGTAATCTTCAACGAATCCCACGTGAAATGTATATATTTACTTATGTGTTAATAATTTTATGAATGACACGATGTCATACAACTTCAGAAACAGTCAAATCATGAAAATATTTTTATTAATAACTATTTGTATTGTGTAAGTATTTGTAAATATGCATTTAAGTGCATATAATTAAGTAGGTACGTAAGTAAGTAATAATTGTCTGTTTTCTTTTTAGTACCACTTATAAGGTTAAGATCTGGCGCCAGCGAATTTTGTTGTTACATAGGTGTAAAATAATTATTTTCCTTATCTGCCTTCTTTATAAATAATTCGTAATCTACCGGTTGATATGCAATTTAATTGCCCATTGCAAATAATCATCACATGAAAATCCAAACCAAAAGTGACAAGGTTTGGCAAAGCCTTACCGCCATGAACATTTACGCTGTGAAAACTATTCCCGGAAAGTGTTTAAATCATGTACATTAACGCATGTAAATATACATATTTATAAAAACATTGTTATTGCTGGAATTATTATCGTAGTGTGTCATGGAACGAGTAAATTCATAGCACGATTTTAAAATTTTAACATGCACACATAATATAATATATACATACATTATATATCTTTTGTATATACGCAGAGTTTATTTAATTAATTTACTATATTATATAATGCTTGTAGTACTTTAAAGTATTATATTTTAGCTGCTTCAAACACATTTTGACAGTGGCTCATAGCAATCACTCAACTAGTCAGCTACATACTTTGTAACCACAAATGAATGATATTATATAATATATGTATACATATTATTGTATATAAGTAGACTTTTGAGTTAAGGTTTGTGCACTAATGGCCCCAACGCCTTTACAAACTTAATATATTTATAATATGTATATATAACATATATATATTATGTATTATGAATGTAGCTAAAAATCCAGATTGGCAAAAACAGCTCGATTAGTGTGGCAGTAAAACTGAAAGCCATGAATATAAAATTTTACAATCTCACGCCTATGGCATTCAAGCTGCACGGTTAATGAATAAGGGGCAGTATTTACCATAAAACGTAGCCCAACCAACTCTGTATTTAACACTAAAAACACACTTAAGTGATCAAATGATAAATGAATAACTCTTAATTTGTGTTTATACACATGAGTAAATAATCATTTAAGTTTACGCCATAGGCACAGATTTCTCGAGTCTTAAACTGGCGTTCAGCATTTTTGCTTATCACGAATTATTCCACACACACAGATACATATGTACATATGTAAGAAGTATATAGTACATCGGTTTTTATGTATACAAAAAGAGAGGAAAAAATAATTAATAAAAACTCTGGCAGTTATTTTGTGGTATACAATTTGTGATTTGTTAAAAGCTAATCCAAATGTTAACCACTCTGCCCAAATAAACATTTGTGTTCTTTACTTATGTGCAATAAAGAACCCAGCGCAAATTGAACATATACATATGTATGTATTCAGATTATTAATTTTAGCATGCTAAATTTATTATTAACTTACCTCCATCATCCATTCTGCAACTATTTTGCGCATAGGCGGTGTGATGTCTTTCTGCACTGTTTTAAAATATGTGCAAACCGGTTGTGGTAGCTTTTCCTCTGCTTTTAGGGCATTCTCCAAGCAGCGATCGGTTAAAAATATCGGATCCACGGTAGCGTTATTTACGAAACCTAAATCACGACTTGGCACCGACTTCAGAAATACAGAATTATTGCTATGTTGATCATCGTAATATTCATGTTGCTTTGTCTCTTGCTGTTGTTCATAATGATGGCGCTTTTGCGTATCTTCTTCTCGATGATACTGTCGATTATGAAGCATTTGCGGTTGGTTTGCATGCGAGCTGTTGCTTGTAGCCGAATTGTAACCGGACGATGGGGAGCTTGAACCCGGTGATAACAAAGACGAGCTGGAACTGGAATAAGGCGAAGGTGCTCCTGGCATTGTTTGTGGCTCCTTTAATACACATTCCTTTGTTGGCTGTTTGGTTTCTGACATTGTTGTGTTTTCTGTTGTTGGTGGCGGTGGTTGCGGTAGCTGTGATTCGGAATAAGTATGTGCTCGCATTTGCGTTGGCACATACGATACGTCACAGTCATAATCATTCCTTAAATTTTCAGTGCACAACAGGTCCATATTGCTACAACAACAACAAAAAACTATGAAATAAAATATGTGTAGATTGCAGCAAACAGTCTTACGTCTCCTCCGATCACTGTGATATAAAATTTATCAAAACACTTTGCTATTTCATAACTCAGACATTAAAAATTGTATTTACAAACACTTTTATTTCACAATGCCAAATCTTTTGATTTATCACAATTTTTTTTTCTTTTGCCGTAGATCCTGGCTGATAATAAAAGTTCGGCTAATTTTTTGAAGCAACGTTGCGAAATTTCACAATTTGATAATTATATACTTTGTTGTTGCTTTATACTTTCTATTTATTCTCACACCTATGTATACAATTTATATATTACGCTCCGCTATTTTCGGCACACTTTTACTGAAATTATTTTTTCGACCAAACTTCGCCCAAAATCAACTAGATGTGTGTCGGTGAATTTGAAAATTAATAGATTGGAATAATTTATTTTTTTATTTACACAATTTAATTGTAGCGATCGTTATCAGTAGTGATTTTAAAGTGTTCTCAGCTTATTGCTACACGATTATCACGCTGTTTTTTACTTAGCACGCCATGAACCACACGTTTTTAAATCAATCAAATCAACCGGTGCACATGACAAGCAAACTGTCACTGTGAGAATAGAACGAGAGCGACTTTGCCATATGCGCAACCGCATTATTTTTGACGGGGTTGCATTTGCTTCATGCGTGAATTCAGCTGTGTGGACTGTATGCTGAAAACGGTTGTATGGTACAAATTAAGTTTAATTCACAAAAACATGGTTCAGCTATGTGCTGAATATATTAGAAAGCAGCAAATATGCAAAAAATCGTTTTAAAATTATTAATATATGTACAAATTTCGTCTGATATCATGTACCATTTAGTTAAGTGCAACGCTAAGCAACCCTGATAAAATACTACATTACTGTAGCAACATGTGGCTCAGAATTAATACGTTGCTAGCGCATTGCTCATACATATTTTAATTAAATGATTAAAAATCGTATGATATTAATCGAAATATGCACAGAAATGAACTGTATTGGTGAACAAGTTATATAATGTTACGTTACTACAAACATACGACACTACATACATTACCATTTTATAACATTCAATATCAATTCTATAACCGTATTATATTTATTGATTAAATTTAAATTTAGTATTACAAAATCATACATGGTAGGATATGCTTTTCTAAGTTTTCTAGCAATATGAGTTTTGTTATGCATATTCCTACAATTTTTTCCAGTGTACATCTTCATGTTTATACCATCATATGTTGCTGAAACATTTTAGCCAAAACAACAACCTCTGTTATCCGCTTGCTTGTTTTCTTTCTAATTTCACCACTTTTATGACATCTTACCTGACATTCGGACCGTGTTTACATGGAGAATCTCGATGACATCTTATAAAAGTTTTTCTGTCCATAGAAAATAATTAAACGTAAGCACGGTACTGTAAATAAAAAGCTGATTAGTCTGCCACACCATAAGAAGTTATAGCAAACAACGTAACAAATACATTCCAATAAGACAGCGAAGTGCGATAAAGTGGTAAAACATGGCTTCGGCTACGGTAAGAAATGTAGGTTTGCATGCTTCCGCCCCACTAATATGACAGGATTGGTTTTACTAACTAACCTGTTTCAAAACAAATGCAATACTATTAACACTACTATTACTTTCTGCCTATCGCAATGAATAGGTGCCATTACTGGAAGATGACACTATTCCCTTTGGTGAGGAAGATGAAATGCGCGATCCAAGTGTAGCTACTAATAGATATGCGTATGTATGACATAGTTATAAAACGTTAGCGTTACTATATCTTATACGCTATCCAATAGGCATCCCTACGTGACATTTTTTCACCTGTTCTTCCGTGGCACCGCAGTGGTTGTATACATATTCTGTGGCTGGTTCAGTGACTCCTTCATAACAAGTTTTGTGTTTGTTGTGCTATTTTTATCAGCTGACTTTTGGACTGTAAAAAATATTACTGGTCGTTTGTTAGTGGGACTACGTTGGTGGAATTACGTCGATGACGAAGGCGTATCACACTGGGTGTTTGAATCCAAGCAGGGACGTGTAAATAATAATGAGGCACGCATATTCTGGCTGGGTCTAATTCTCTTCCCCGTCTGTTGGGGTTTGTTTTTCGTGGTAGCACTTTTTGGCTTGAAGTTCAAATGGCTTTTACTAGTCATGATTGCACTTGCACTTAATGGCGCTAATTTATTCGGTTATGTTAAGTGTAATTTCGGTGCAAATAAGGATCTCAATACGGCGGCAACGGATTTCGTCAAAACACAGTTATTTAAAAATGCCGTGGATATTATGACAAAACCAAGTGCACAACCACCTACTACGCGACCAACCAACGTCGTTTAGTTTACACCAGGCACCAGACGCTTGTTTCAACTATGCTTAATATATAAATTGTGTATACTTAATATAAGTTAGTTTACTTTTTGTTGTTTTGTACACGTATTACATATTTCAAATCTTATTTTCAACATAAACAGCGAAGTAAATTGCAATAACGTGCTAAATAGTTGTTAATTAATTTGTTTAAATGGCTTTATTAAATCATACCTTCCCATTCTTCGTAGCTCCAATACTCCAGCCAGCAACAATCGATTAAAATTTATAATATTATAACATAACTACATACAATACCATAATTACAATTAAAACTACAGTGGAATTAGATAACAAATATAGTGAATATAAGACTCAGCTAATGACAGAGTCCAAATTGCCACTTTTATAAATATCATGTGGTAGGTCGTGAGGGTTGGGACAAAAGCTCATCGATTTGCGCCTTATATGCCTCGCGTGCCTCCTTCAGATCCAATTCTAATTCTTCGGTGCGTTCAACTTTCTCACCGTACATTTGCAGCAGCGCATCATAGTTATGCTGGAGCTCCTCGTAGCTTTGATCCAGCGTTTCGTAGGAGAGCAGCTTTTCCTTTGCCTTTGGAAAAACCAACAAAACAAAAACAAAGTTTTAATTGTGAAGAAATATTTCATATTATATACGTAATTACTTACAGCCTCCAATTCGGTAGTCAACATTGCAATTTCCTCCGCCAAAACGCTGCGCCCCTCCTGTAACCGCGCCAACTCCCACTGAATGTGCACCAGTTCACCGTCGCGCTGTTTCAACATCGATTGTAAATGCTCCAACGTTGACGTATTATGCCCCATAAAGCTCATATTAATACCGTAGGCCAGATTCACCATTTGACGGCCCGAATTCGAAATGCAATCTATATCTTCCTGCAAAGCGTTACAATGAAAGAAAGTATTTAATTGTTTCCCATTTAAGCGCACTTGTACTCACCGCCTGCCAATCGATGCTGCCACCCTCCATCGTTTCCTCTTGCGAATTGCGCTCAAAACTCATTGCCGGCGACTGCGAACGTTGCGTTTGCTCAAGCGAGTGCTGACGTGCCAGCTCATGTGGTGCCAATGTTGCTGTGGAGAGCGGCACAATCCGCTTTGTCTCGGTGCCAATTTGTGGCAGTTCGCCAGCACCAACGAAGCTTGGTAATTTCTCCTCTGTCTTCACACGCAATTTCTCTTCTAATACTTTATTTTCACGCTCCAACGTCTCTACTTTGGCTGTGCACTGTTCAATTTGTTTGGTAAGCTCTGCTTGTTGGCTGCAAAATTCACATACCGATGCAATAATAAGAATGGTTAGTGCACTACTACAAATTTTTACCTTTTCAGACTGCTCTCTTTCATGTTGTACTCAAGCTGCGCCTGTTGCAAACCAATTTTGGCCTTTTCCTCCTGCAGCAGCGCATGCGAAAGCGTATCTTCTAGTTCTGTACAATGTTTCTGCAGCAATTCGACACGTTCCTCGTATTTCAACTCGACATTTTCCAATGACTTCAATTTACTTTGTGCAGCAGCTGCTCAAGAAAATTGTAAAAATATGCAATTCTGGTCTCGATCGTGACTAATTACTTCGCCCTACCTAATTTATCCAAGAGTATCTTCTCTTCCTGGTTATAGTTAGCGGTGCGCTGCGTGAGCGTATTCTGTAGTGATTCCAGTTGCCGCATTAGCGGCACCGTAGTCAGGCTGGCCTCCTGTGCGGCGGCTTCGGCGCGCATTTCAGTCGCCTCCAATCTACGCATCAGTTCTCTGTTCTCCCCACGTAACTGTTGTTCCCGCTTTGTGGTTGTCTGCTCTGTGCCACGTAGATTTTCACGCAGTTCACTCAACTGATTCAGGATTTCCAGATTCTCTGCTTTTAGTGACTCACGCTCCTTTTTTGCTGCGATCGCTTCTTCGGCGGTGCGCGTGAGATCGGTATGTTGGCGCGTACGTTGTTGTAGTTCCAATTTTGCCGCCTCGAAACTCGCCTGCAGCGTGGATAACTTCGACTGCAAGTCTTCCAGTTTACTGCGCTGCTGCGCGTTTTCATCCTCCAGTCTTCTTTTTTCGGAAGACATTTTATGCACCGCCTCGATTTGTGACCGTTCTACCTCTTCTTTGGCGTTCAATGTCTTTTTCAGCCGTTCAAGCTCATCACTTATGCTGGCAATTTCCTCCTTATTCTTTTTCAGTGTGGCGTCGGTAGTTTTCTCCTTGGCACGAAGCTTTTTGATGATATTAGATTGCTGCAGAATCTCTTTTGACAATTTTTCACCTGAAAGCGCACACAAATTTGTTATAAATATATATTTGTAAGCTATTTTATTTAACAAATACCTTCCGAACGCAATTCCTCAATCATAATGTTGCTCTCGGTCAAACGCTCCCTGGGTATTTTCAGCTGCAGCTCATCTTTTAGGTCCTTGATTTGTATGCGCAATGCATCCCTTTCACGTATGCTGGCTTGAAATTTCTTTTCCAAGGCTGACAGTCGTTGTGTGTATCCCTCTGTGGTATCTGTGCTGCCACTATTAGTTTTGAAAGTCTCCAGCGTGTTTTCTATTTCTGCGTTGCGTTCCTGCAACTCTAAATTTTGACGCTCCAATTGTAGTAGTCGTAATTCCCGCGCCTCTAAAGTATCACTCAGTTCACTTATGCGTTGCATAAGCCGATCCAACTCAGACTGTGAGTCTTCGGAAAGTATCGAAATTTCAGAGGGACCACGAAAGTGTCCTTTTTTCGAACATGTCATGCTGGTTGTTTGCCCAAGACCCTGGCTACTCATAAGTTTTTTCCACTTTAAAGGACTGATGCGCGTCAAGCTATTAGTACTGGAAGAATCACCATTACCATTGGGGTTTGATATAATTTCTATATCTGAGGATGTTGTAGTTTCCATTTCATCGTTGGAATTGTGTGGCGAGGAATTGGTTTTGGAATTCATTGCATCATTCTGATCGTCCGATGCTGGTGAAACTGCTTGCGCTTTTTCCAAGTATTGATTAACGGTACAACTCGTCTGCATTTGCACATCCTCGAAACTTTGCGTGGAATCCGAATCAGCATGGTGTGACTCGCTACGTGTGTCCTGTAAGGAGATAATCATTTTTTGGCTCGGCGAACAGCTGGTCGTAGATACCGGTTGCTCAATTGTATTTGGGTAATGTATTGCAGTGGGGACAACATGACTATCTGGCATTTGAGGAAGAAAAATATAACTAATGGAATAATACCAACTTAGAAACGTACCTGTAGATTCTGCAGGATCTTGTAGATCCCCCATAACTGTTTTATACGAAATTGAGTCTTCCTCAATATCGTATTCATCTCTTTCGGAGATAATTACAATGCTGTCTGGCAGTGAGCCACTTACCGAAATGCAAAATTCTTTATTAATCGCATCATTTTCCAACGTGGCTGTACCACTAATTGTCTCCACCGAGGATGATGCTTCATTACTTGCACTACTCTTTGGGTCAGTAACCGGTGACTGTAAATCGGAACTACTCGATACAGGTGGTGAGAGCAATTCTACTGAATCTGAAGTAGTTGTCGAAGTAATTGATGGTCGCTGTGTGGACGGTGTATTACTATCTTCGAGATCCGTCATAGAAGTTGAATCTTTCATAACAGCAGCGGCTGGCAACATACCCACACTACCTGCTTTAGAACGCGGTGGCGCTGTTATAGTTTCTTGTGCATTTGGATTTTCAAAGAAAGAACCTGTGAAGGAACCCCAAGTCGAGGAAACCATTGACGCTGTCGGTGTGGTTGGTGCTGAAACCGTGGTACTCTTTACTACACTACTTGGTGGTGCAAAAACATTTTGACTATCGCCCATTTCTCGATTTGCTCCTCCTGGTAGCTTTTGTTTTCGCACCGCTCCAGTTGCTGACGACGTAGGCAATGTCGTTTGTACTTGGCAAATTTTTTCACCACCCACATTGTCGTCTTGTATATCGAGCGCTTTGTCTATGGATGCCACGGCTTCTTTGAGTGCACTTTTCGCCCAATTTAGACCCTTCGCTTCGAACCAGCTCATTCTTTTCTACAAAAATACACCATTTAATAATTTGCACTACTTTTATTTACATTTATTTATTCTTTTTGCCAGCTGTTTGCTAAATAATAACAGAGTTGCATTTGACATGCACAGCACGTGGGTGGTTCAACAAACCCATGTAATGATGAAACTAAATTTTATAATTAATATATAATTATTTATTACAAATATTATAATAAATTTTTGATATATTTTGTCGTCCCGTTGTTTCCCTCATTTGTGTATTATCTCTATATAAAACAAAATTTTAGTGTTGCAGTTTCAATACACTTTTTTTTATTTCGACAGATTTGTATGCATTCAAAGACAATAATTCATACATAAATAGTAAAAAATATTAAATAGCAAAACATTATTTTGCATTATGTAAAATAAAACAATAATTATATTATTTTTATATTGTTATTTAAAATGTATCAAATATATTACGGGAGCATACATCTATACTTGTACATAGCAAAAAATCGATATTGTTTTGAAAAAAACCCAAAATTGTTAAATATTTTTTAAATATTATTTTAAAGTTCCAAGATAGTTGTAGATATGAATATTCTTAGATTTTATTAATAAGGGATTTTTTTTTATTTAGGTAATAAAAACTTATTTCAAAATATATAAAAAGAATTTTTGTTCAGTTACCAATACAACCCAAAAAGTTTGTTTAATTGCGAGAGCAGTAATAGCGCTTAGGCATTGAGCCGTTGCTTAAGTATGTATTTTGTCAATGAGTGAATATAGCTCCAGTGGCGCAATTGGTTAGCGCACGGTACTTATAATCAGTAACTAGTGAGCAATGCCGGGGTTGTGAGTTCGAGCCTCACCTGGAGCAATAAATTTTTTGCATATTTTTAAATTGCTTTTATTTTAATATATATTTTTTTTTAACTAAAATAGCCTAGTTTTAGCAAATAGCAAATAGCGGCAATAAAAACAATATTCCTTCGAATAGTATATTTTCGGCGTGATGTGCATTTTTCAAGAATTTGGATATATGTATACCACCGATCGCATATGAATGATATGTAGAAAATAAAAATAAAAAGAGACCAATTTATATTAATACTTTGTTGTTGTTTTATTTCGTTTACGTTTTGTATTGGATGTGTGTTAACAATTCAAGTATTTGCTTCATATTTTTTTTTTTAACGCTTACAACTAATACGACAATAATATAGTATATAAACAAAAAAAATTAAATAATAAATGTTGTATATATGTAAATGTAAAAATGAAAATCAATATATATAGAAAATAATATGTACATAATGAATAATTAAAATTGGTAAAGCTTTTATTGTGTATTCTGTTTGCAATTCTAATTGAATTTATTTAATTTAATTTCAACACTTGCAACAAATCGGCGAATTACTCTTTAACTTACATATATATTTTATGAACTTTAAACTTAATAAATAAGTTAGGTTTCTATTTATTTTGCAAGAACTAATTACTGAAATCACAAGAGGAGAGAATCGAACCTTTTCATATTGTATGCTACAAAAATAAATAAATTTATGAATGTAAGGAAATGTGCGCGATATGGTTGTATTTAGAGTCAGACGCATTCAATATAAAACAATTTATGTGACTTATGCGCGTTAACGGTGTTGCCACACGTGGTTTGCTGTCTGACCGCACCATTATTTTACGTTACACTACAGTTAGTTTGGATGCTCCTAGTTCTAATTAAATATTTTATTTTGTCTATATTTATACATGAGTGATTTTCATAATTTTACAAATATTTGTTGCAAATTTCCTTATGTTATTTAAATTTGTTGTATACATGGGTAATATTTAAATACTTAGCGCTTGGATGAATTGTTCAACAAAATGTTATTTCTCTAATCATCAACGGAATCAACAATAATTATTAGTCATTCAACTGTTGTAATAACCGTTTTCTATAATATACTTGTACAATAATGATAATAATAATATTAAGCAAATCTAGATCTAATTACTGTTGTAAAATATATAGTAAACTATAATGATATTTATGCTACATGTGTTAGTGAACTAATCGTGTAAATGGATTTGTGCTGTTTTGCATGTTGTGTGCTTGGTGTGGAGTGTTGGTGTGCGTGGTGGTTTACGTGTATTTAGGCACGTATGTTGATGTGCGTGATTTTTCATTTGTTTAAGTATTAATTTAGGTTATAACAAAAGGTGAATTGTGCCTAGTAGATAGTTTTGCGATAGCAGCAAGAGCAAATATCGACAGTGTCCAGGCGATGGCATTGGCTAATTGGGCGTTGGCGGCAATGGCGGTGACAAAGGTCGCATAAGCTTAGTGAGTATCGCACCACAAAAGTTGCTTGTATTCGTTTATTTGTTTTTGGTAGTTGAGTTTCAGGGTGTAAGCCCAGGAGAGCACATTCTGCAAACAAAAACAAAAAACAGAAATAAATATGTGTATTAAATTCTACTTAAATTAAGGAAAGTTATAGCAATGAAACTTGGGCTTTGATGCCACACCCATACAATTACAATGTCATTTACTTATGTACATAATATAATAATCCTTGTGACCTTCATTGGCACAATAAAACAGGAAAAGAGCTATAATACCCTTCACAAATAAAAGAGTCTCCGTACACGTACTTAATTTTGATCGTTCAGTTTGTATGGCAGCCATATGTTATTGTAGTTCGATCTGAAATTTGTTCAGAGATTGCAGCATTATCATGGACAATAATCCATGCCAAATTTCGTTAGATATGTTATCAAACAAAAAAGTTTTTCGTACAAGAACTTGATTTTGATCGTTCAGTTTGTATAGCAGCTCTTAGCTACATATATTGGTCCGATATCGGCGGTTTCGACTCATGAGAGGTTGCTTGGGGAGAAAAGGACGTATGTAAAATTTCAGATTGATATATCAAAAACTAAGGAACTAGTTCGCCTATATACTGACAAATGAACAAGACTGAATCGACTATGTTAGTCAAGCTAATCATTTATATAGATATATAGTTTAAAAGATATCCGATGTTTCCTTTTCAGTGTTAAAAAATTCTTTACAACCCTAATTTACACTGTTTAGGGTATAAATATCCACAATTTCATATACATACACACACACACACAATTAATCTCACCATAATGCTTACTTGACGGCTTTTACAGCCGTAGCCAAAAAAATTGTCCATAAATATATAATATATGTATATGCGACAAGCCGTTCACACAGTTTCCATAGCTCGCACATCCTTTTGTACCACATAGAATTTATGCTTCTTGCCGAATAGGCCCCAAATGACGGCTATATTTTCAATCACCACATTCACGGGTATGGTGCAAACGGCGCCCAGCACACAGGCCATAAATTTCATCAAGCCAAAACGATACAGTGAAAACGATTTTATCACACCGAAGACATACATATAAATGTTGACGGCGGCAATGAAAGCGCAAACGAAATCCACTAAATTCGGGCATGGTATCGGATAGAGGCCGGCAAAAATGATATTCGATGTGGACAGTGGCATGGTGACCCAGGAGTAGACGCTGATGCCGAGCAAGAGTTTATGCTTTAACGGTATAATTTTCGAATGTACCACCAGAAGTATGCCCTGGAGCCAACGTTTGCGTTGTTGCAAAAAATCGAGCAGTGTGAATGGTGACTTCTCGTACATTTCACCCTCGATGAAGTTAAAGCTGTAGCCTTGTGAAAAGGCGCGCATTGCAAAGAAACAATCCTCGGCGACGGAGCCATCGATGCCATTGTCGAAGGACACTTGACGTTCGGCGCCAACCTATGGATGGAGTAAAAAAAAAAGGAAAAACAAAAACACAAATGGTTTAATATTATATTAAAGAATCGTATACGAATATATGATCAAATTCTATTGTTGCATAATGAATTAGTTTCTATGTAGTATTTTTAATTAATAATGTAGCGCATATAAAGCTCTTATAATTTTAACGCTTACAAAAACGTTATGATTATTTGTTTGCTCTCTTTTAAAATACTTGAACCAATGTCAGATTCAGTCAGCTTTAATTATTTACGAAACACTCGAGAAAAGTACTTGAAGTGTCTGGCGATCGTCCAGCCGTTTTGGAGAAATTTTACTGACCGACTTTGAATACAGCGTTTCGAGAAAAATGCGTTTAAAGTTTTGGCCGATTACGCTAAGTTAAAAAATTAGTAGAATTACGCTCATATCACCGAAACTGTTTATCGGATCGACTTGAAATTTTCGGGGAATATTGTTCGATTTTTAAACATGGCGCTGGCAAAATGTTTCACTTTGTATGGTTTTATTTTTAAAAATTATAAAATCTCATGGACCAAGTTTTCATCTGCGAATCGCCGCTGAATCCCAACAAAGTCGATCTATTTCTAAAACAGATGGTTATTAGTGATGAAAAGTGGATCACTTATGACAGCTTCAAACGAAAACGGTTTTGGGAGAACGACGTCAAGCTTGACGGTCAGAAAAGTTAGGATGTGTGTTTGGTTGGATTGGCAGGGAATCTTCCTGTATGAGTTGTGCCCCTAAAGGAGCAATTCGACCATCTGACCAATTGAAGAGTAATTGTGTTTAACCAGGACAACTCCGGGTCACATACATAGATATTGACTCGTCAGAAGCTCTGGAAGTTTGGTTAATAGGTCATCTCTCATCTACTTTAACGTCTGGATCTGACCCCAAGTGATTACTACCTGTTCCTGTCTATTGCGAGCGGTATTGCTGATGAAAAATCGACTGTTACAGTTTTTTGCCAATAGGGACGAGAGTTTCTATAAGAGTTATTATGAAGTTATCTTCAAAATGACAACAAGTTATCGAATTACACGGTGTGTATTTCAACTAAATCGGATCATTTTAACTATGCTAGATAAAATCTTCAATTTATTGCAAAAAAAAATCGTTTTACTAGAACTTAAAATATACTTATATAACAATTGAACTCACCTGCGTAACAACATAGCTACCCTTCCAGCTGAACAACGGCTTGTGGAATAATTTGAACTGCAAACGTAACTTCCCCATGTCGTCCGAGACGCGGAAACTATCCGCCAAAGTAGTTAACCAATTCACCACATTCTCATTGGCATAGGTAATGAGACCCTGACCGAATGGATGTTTGCCATCTAAAACGAAATTGATAATGCCACGCACCGAATTCTCCGTTAACAACGTCTCCTCATCCAAATGTACCACCCAATCGTTGTCGTTCAACACGTTTACATCATTCTCCAGACAATATTGCAAAGCACGTGACTTAAACAGTGCGCCCGTGCGTGTTTTATACTCCTTTGGCACGACTATTTCACGTATACGACGATGTTGTGCCAAATTGACGGATTTATCGGTGACCACCTCGATAAGGAAATTTTCCAGACCCGTATCCAGGCAGGTATTCATGTTACGCAACACATTCGTCTTGACCAAATCGGCAAAATCACCGCGTGTCACCACACGTATGCAAATGAATGGCGCCAATATTGGGCTGCCCTTTAGCACCACCTTCTCGGGGAAGGCATTGTAAAAGACGAGGCCGCAAAAATTGAATAAGACTTGCGGCAGCGTTAGGAAAGTTAGAAAACGTAGTAAGTACAATAATATAGTGGCTACTTGGCCGTACTCAGTCCATGGATCGACGAGTGTAAATGAGTTCTCGTCGATTTTAATACCACCGGAGAATACTTCAAATGTTATTATCACAGTGATAAGGAGTGTGCAGTGCAACAGGTGCTTTGTGCTCGAGTTCATAATGTTGCTATTGTTGTTACTCTTAAGGGGGTTGTTATTGTTGTTGCGGATGCACTACGACTTTGTTTAAATATTTTAAAAAAATTTTTGTTTGATTTTTTGCTTTAGTATTAATGTGGCTTTTCTTTGCTGAGACGGATGTTTGTGTGTGTGCATGAAGGAGCGCACTTTGTTGTGCGCAGAAATGCTGTTTTGCGATTTCTTCACCTGCTCTGTTGCTTACTTATTTATATTTTTATTTGTTTGTAAATTGAGTTGGGGATTTAAGTTATTTTCGCTTAAGTTTCAAGTGCTTGCAGTTAAGATATTCAGGCGTTGTGTTTATATATATATATATAGTATATATATTTACATATATAATTTTTTAAATCTGATTTTTGTTTACTTTTTCTCTTAGTTGCTAATTTTGGTTTTGGTGCGATCGTTACGTGCTTAATAGGCTTACGTGCGTTAGTGCTGTTGACTTTTTAGTTATATATAATTTGTATGTTCTTTTAGCTTAAACAAAAAATGTCGTCTTTCAGATTTATTTAGATTTGTGCCTGCTGATAATTTTTGTTTGCTGTCCAAACGAAGAAATCACGTCACATTCGCGCTGAGTGTGTGCAAACTCTAGCCCAGACTTCGTTAAATCTTTGCCTTAAAAATCTAATTAGCGCTGAACTCTTATTGCTAGAGCTCGCACATTCGGTGTTTTTTTTATCGAATTATCTATCTTTTACATTTGTAGATTTTTTTATAGCTATTTGATCGCTTAGCACAAATCAATTTTGTGCAGTTTTCTAATAAATTTGTTGCTAGAATTTCATGATTGTGATTGTTTTGCTTGTCTCGCCGAGATGCCGGTACGCTGTGTGCGCTGAAATGTTTGGACAATAATTTATTTTGATTTCTACGTAAAACGTTGCAAAATGTTGTTTGCGTTTTCATGAGCTTGTCATTGTTGCCAGTCCTGAAATAAAAAGATAAATAAAAAATTAATTTAATGTGATTTAAATATTATTATAACTTTGTATGTGTTCTTACGACAGATGTAGCAACTTGAGAAAAGAGAATTCGAGGCTAGTAGTGATATTTCCTAGTGAGAAGAGAAACTTTTCAACCGACCTGTATGTATGTATATAATATACTATATAGGTATTTTATGATTTTCCTCCGTCATATTATATAAACTGATCCCATTTGATATGCACTAACAAACAAAACTATATTTTCACTTAGGTAATACAATATTAATTGCCTTCAAAAAAGGCTTTTGTACAAACAACATGGCTTAACCCAATTTTCTATATACTGTTATATGTTTCGGCTGGGATGGGCTCATTTTTGGAGCGCCGTTCGTTAGTTTGTTAGACTGCTTTGACGTCATATTCATAAACCCACGTGTCGTCACCAGTAACGATGCGTTTGATGAATGTAGCGTCCTCGGCAACGTTGCCAGGCTTCTCTTTTGAGAACTCTACTCGATGTCCCCGTTTTTGCATATGCTTCAGGCCTTTTTGTTAGACTTGTCACACTTCATACCCAAAACATTAACCAAAATGTGTTGAATCGATCCATAACAGGTTTTGAGATCCTCTGCTATCTTGTTGATGCCAATATGAAGATTTTCAAACACTTTTACTTTAACATTATCGATGTTATCGTCATTAACAGAGGTGGATGGAGGACTCGCATGAGGCATGCTTTCGTTGATTTCACGACCTTCACTAAGTTTTTTATGCCACTCAAATACTTGTGTTCGTGATAAAGTGACTCCCCAAAACCATTCTGCAACATTTTCAACGATTCCGTAGCCATGATTTAATAGGAACCACAAAATTTTACGCGCAGTCGTTGTTAAATTTTTTATTTCATGGTAAAAATTGTCAGACAAACTTTTCGTGTCGTAAACGAACAGCTACCAAACACACACTAATTGACATATGGAGATTAAACTTCACACGAACATACAAAAATGCTGAACCAATTTAGAAAAAAAAATTTCCGATTCGGTTTGCGCGCGCAGTTTAAATGGACCAGTCTGGGTCAAGTTTGATCAGATGGTACTGGTATATTTAATACAATTTCTTTGTCTACGAGCTACTAAAAATTTGTTTTCTAAAGTACACACACCTCTGCCTAGCTCTAAAGAAGTTTACTGTGATTAAAAGTCGTTAAATAAATATTAAATGTTTATAAAGATAATAATAAGCACTCACAGACGTTCAATAAGGCGCAGATAAGAAACTTTGCACTCATATTATCTCAACTTTAACAACATAATCGCAATAATAATAAAAAAAAAACATTTAAAGAACTAAGACAGTTCTAATAAAGCTAGAAAACTACAGAATAGTTTTATTGTAGAAAAAATAATCTTCTTTATAATTTGTCGAATGTTCTGTTACGTTGTCAAATTCTAAGTATATTTTAGAATTTTCCCGATCATCTATAACTATATACAATGTATGAACTCTGGACTAAATCACTTAATTGTCTTCAACAAAAAACAACAAACTTTTTTATCAATTTTCATATTAAATGTTCACGTACCCTGTATTGTAAATGACTTAATTATTCACAAAGAATGTATCAAAAGTCACTGTAATTAGTCGTAATATTTAAGTCTAGCCTAACAATATTTACTTCTCTCACGAATAACGTAATAACTGATTTTCTGTCATTTTACTTTTGTAAATGTAGAGGCACAAAGTAAGTGAGTAATTGCTTATATTATTTTATTGCAGGACATACAATTATATAGCTTTAAGTTATTATCAGTATTTAAGTATGACATTTTAACAAGCTCTAATACTAAGTCACTATTTTACAAAAGTATTTCTTCAAAATAAATAATAAGCTGGGATATGTATAAGATTTAGTAAACAGAAGGCCAATTATTATATTTTTGCATAGAATTGAAGGTTTCATTTAAACGTATTTTTCTCAACTCGAAGCTGTTTATATCGGTTCCAAGACTTGTTTTCAATATATTTTTTGGGTGCAACATAAAATTAGTTTTCCTCAAGTCGTGAGAGATCAAAGAAAAGTACATATTTGTGAGGAAATATTGATTATTTATGGAAAATAAAAAATGTTTTACCTCGTCCGTATAATTATAATTTTACAACTTCAGAATGATTCGATCATTTAGTTACAATGTTATGAGTCACCAAATGATAAGAACCATAGAGAAGAAAAAATGCAATCTTTGTTCGAAAAAATGGTAACGAGTCTCTCTTAATTGTCATATTATTGACAATTATACCGGTATAATTATATTTATTGGCATTGGACTTATTAGCCTAGATATAAATATATATCACAGTATTCTGTACCTATGAAAACAACATCTAGGGGTTTGTAGAGGTTGTTCACCAGGAAACAATCAACTATCTGGTAAGTAAATAAAAATAAAAAAAACACGATAATTGTAGAGCGTAAAATAAGTACCCAAGTACTTTACGCAATCACAGAAAATGCCAATGGAAGTGTTATCAAAACAAATAAAAAGTGGCTTAAGTGGGTATGGCATCGGAGTGGAGTTACTTATATGTATATATTATGTATGAATGCCCATTGCATTTATCACACGAACGGTACCCACCGCTGCGTTAACGACACATTACTCAGTGACAGGGGCATCGTATAATTAAGTGCCAAAGTGGTGCCCTGTTGAACGCTGAGTGCCGTCAGCAGATTGATTGCGAACTACAAAAAACGAGTATGAGAACGACACAGCGAAATGGGTATGGAAATAAATCAGCGTATTCAAAATTTGAACGCAGGGATGCCAAATAGTTAAAAATTTAATAACAAATATTTATAGAAATAGTTATATATTAGGGTGGGCAAAAAAAATGTTTTTTTTCGCTTCGTACTCTAAAAATTTGGTTGATAGACACCTCTAAGAAAGGCTCTCCAAGTCCGCCTAACAGTTTTCTATTTTTTTCTTATTATTAGATAGAAAAATTCATGTCTCGCATCCAAAAACTTGATAAAATATCTAACGGTTGGAGTTTGACTATTTTAAGGCAAATTTAATTTTTTCTTTTGAATTTTATAACTCAACGAAAAAACATCATTTTAAATTGCAAAGCTCATAGTCTTGTAGGAAACTTACTGCGCACCCATTCTTGCAAGTCAGAAAACAAGCATTTTTTGCGAAAAACTTACACTTCAGTGGCTCAAAAGATCGAAATTGTCAAAAATCTTATTTCCTCGATGATTATCTGGCAAATATGTTATATCTAAGAAGGTCGTGTGAAAATTTCAAGTCGACCGGTCTAGCCGTTTCGGAGAAATTTTCTCACGGACTCTGAAAACAGCGTTTCGAGAACAAACGCGTTAAAAGTTTTGGGCTCCGAGCATAATTAAAAAACTCTTACAAATACGTTCATATCTCCGAAACTATGTGCGGGATCAACTTAAAATTTTCGGAGAATATTTTCATATATACAGCGTTTACCAATAAAGATGACGTGATTTTGACAGCTTGTGGCGGCCATGCTTCTTTACGGATTTGTGTCAGCGTGTTCAATAAGGTTTGCTATTTCATCATGGCACGTTTCACTTTGGTACAACGCTTGGAAATAGTCCAAGATTATTACGAAAAATCACGTTCTCCGGTGGCTACTACATACTGGCTTAATTGCTCATATTTCACGTCTAAACATGGACACATTGTGTGCAAAGTTTGCAGACTCGTTAATTTGGAGAAATGGTCCAGTCAAATGACCGCCAAGATCATGCTATTTAACGCCTCTAGCTTATTTTCTTTAGGGGTCTGTTAAATCAATGGTTTGCGCCAATCAATTAACAGCGCTTGAGGAGCTTGAAGACAACAATCAGCAGAAAACGGGTGGAGATATGCAAACGGGGCCGTGGTGGCCATTAGGCCGACATTTTGTTCAAATCATAAATGGCATAAGTAACATCACGTCGTTCATGTTGGTAGACGCTTTATGAACATTCGATATGTATAAAAAAAATCGATTTTTTTTTTCACAAATGGAAGTACCACCTAAGACGGCTAATTTAAGAAAAAGAATTGAATGTAAAAGATACAAATAATACATTTCTGCCATTCATGATATTAATTTAAATACATTCCATAAAAATAGGAAATCCTAACCAGTTGGCATCCCTAATGAACACAACGTGCTACCAACTAATTCATACGAATACGAAATAAAATAATGCGCACTGCGAGTGTGAAATTGATTACTTTGCTGCTCTTGTTACATTTAATGACACCTATAAAGTGGGCAAAGTGGCATAGCTAAATTGAGACATGGGAGTTTGAGTGTATGAAGTTAGAGCATAATGAGCTGATGCACTCTCTTTGCTTCTGCTAGCAATGCACTACTTGTGATAGTGATGACACAATTAAATAAATTCAAAATCGTTAAGCTAGAATACTCTTCACAAGTGCATTAATTTCAGCATAAAAATGTATAAAAATATCTTAATCTTGACTTTGATCGATTAGTTTGTATGTTAGCTAATGCTATAGTGGTCCGATCTGAGCATATTAAGAGATTAAGAAGGCTTACCTTGGACAATAATCTACCAAATTTCTTGAAGATACATATGTTAAATAAAAATTAAATAAAAAAGTTTTCCCCACAAGAACTTGATTTTGATTAATCAGCTTAGCTTGTGTGGCAGGTATATGCTATAGTGGCCGGTTCCAACTAATGAGCAGCTGCCTGGGAAGAAAAGGACGTGTGCGACTAGTTCGATATTCCATATTTTGATTGTAATACATTTTTGAAATAGCTAAATTGTTTATTTTTAATGAATGCTCCTTCACACAATTATCCAAGCAGTGGACAATCAAATTCGATACTAAAAACAATCGATATGTGTATGCCTTCTATAGATTCCAATGCTACCCACTATGCATCTTCTAGCTAACTTGCTGACTTATGCGGATTACATTGTTTGCTGTTTCATTAATTAGTTTGC